GTGGTACCACGTGTCCCTGGTACCTCGACACCCCCGGGCGGGTCGCCGGCGTTGCTCCCTGATCCCAGCATCGACTCATCAAACTCTGGGGACACAGCGACCCGAGAAGCCGGCCTGATGGCCAGTTGCAACACGTAAAACGACGAAAATTAACTAGGGGCCTTGGAGGGCGGATTTCCCAGCTTCGTTCGTAGATTCAGGTGTAGACCTGCCCTCCTCCCACCGCCGCATCCCCGTCTCTGCACGCCCCACGCCCCCGCAAGGCTCTCCCTCCCCGGGCGCCGGGAGCCTCCACCTCCCTTTCCTCCTCGGATTTCACGACCTTCTAAGGCTGAGAGGATTCAGCCCCCATGACTTTTCAGGGTTGGGCTGGGGGCGCGCTTCTCCGGGGGGGTCGGGACCCTGGCTGCACCAGGAAGTCATCGCTGTGCCCCTTCTCTGCCCCAGACCCGGGGTGGCCACGCATGAAGCCACCAGAATGAGGTCTGACCCCTGAGGCAGCCACCCGCCAGGGCAGGCGCTGACAAGGCCTGGCCCACGGCTCTGGCTGGAAGGTACCCCACCTGCACCCCCCGCCCCCCGCGCCTTTGGAAAGGGCATGGGATCCATGGGTCCATTGGTAGATTCCACTGCCAGCAGCTTCGACTTCCTGGGGGGACCACTGCCCCCAGGAGAGGCCACTGGGGGGTGAGGGTTGCTATGGAGATCTTAGCCCACCCACCTACCCAGGTGGGAAGGCTAATCTGTGGGAAAAGGTCCCTGGGAGCCTTTCAGAGGAGCTCATCCCACACCTGCCAGGGCAGGTGCTATCCAGGTGCTCCCTCCCACCCCGTCACTGGAACATCCTAGAGACCCGTGGTTCTCAACCTTGGCTGCACGTTCGAATCACCGGGGAATCTTTTTTAAATCCTGATTTCTGGGCCTCATCCTCCGGAAATTCTGTTTCTTTGTTACTCATGTTGTGGCCCCACCCCATAACAAAGAAACGGAATTTCCGGAGGATGAGGCCCAGAAATCGGGATTTTAAAAAGATTCCCAGGTGATTCGAATGTGCAGCCAAGGTTGAGAACCACTGTTCTAGACACTTTTCTCACATGCACCACCAAGCCCTGATTTGCCTCCAGTCCAGGCAATTGTCTTTGTAAACCCCACAACCTCGCACCCTTGCCTCACTGTCTCTGGCCTGGATGGGTGCAGAGCCTCCTGGCTCGTCTCCTCCTGCCCCTGTAACACAGGCCAAAAAAAAAAAAAAAAAAAACCCCCGCGGCCGGTTTGGCCCAGTGGATAGGGCATTAGCCTGCAGACCTGGTTCAATTCCAGGTCAGGGCACAGGCCCGGGTTGTGGGCTCGATCCCCAGATTCTCTCCATCATTGATGTTCCTCTCTCTCCCTCGCCCTTCCTCTCGGATATCAATAAAAACATTTTTTTTTTAAAGTCAGAATAAAAACTGAGCTCTGATTAGTAGCAACCTTTAATTCATTTTGGATACAGGCGATTTCTACAGAGAGGCTGTCAAAATTGCCAAGACTCTGGCTGCATCTGCATAAGGAAACCCTCAGCCTCAAGGAACAGAAGTCACTACATGAAGCGGCTTGAATTAAGTCACCTGACACCTCGGCGAAGAGAGAGACCAGAGGAGGCGGCAGGCTGAGACGGGGGCGATGTGACAGAGCACCTGGCCTTTCCATGTCTCCTCCGCTATCACCTTCCGACAGAAAACACCGGGAAGGAAGGGAGCGAGCACTTAATTATCTGTGCAGCTGCAGATGGAAATAATAAGAACAGAGTCTGGTTTGGAAGCCTACTTAGCAGTATCTAACAATTTTAAAACATAGATACCCTTTCGCTCAGCCGGCGTGGCTCAGTGGTTGAGCGTCAACCTATGAACCAGGAGGTCACGGTTTGATTCCCGGTCAGGGCACATGCCTGGGTCATGGACTTGGTCCCCAGTGTGGGGTGTGCAGGAAGCAGCCAATCAATAATTCTCTCTCATTATTGATGTTTATATTTCCTTCTCTGAAATCAATAAAATCCTATATAACAAAAGGCTAATATGCAAATAGACTGAACAATCAGTCACTATGACATGCACTGACCACCAGGGGGCATGTGCGGAACATGGTGGTGCTTTGGTTGCGGCGGGAGAGTGGAGCAGGTGAGTGGGGGCACCAGACCAGGGCGGGGCGCCAGTCCCTGTCATCGGGGCAAGCCTCTGGTAGTTACTGAAAATTCTTTGCTCCTGTGCGCGCTGCGGTCCCTCCTGATGCACCCACTGCCGGTGCCCAGCACTGGTACCGATCACTTGGTGCCATCAGTGGGTGGGAGCAGCAGCTGCCGGCCCCAATCACCCCTGAGGTCTTCTCCACCTCCCCCTGCTCCTTAGGGGCAATCAGGCTCGCACCCACTGTCGGCAACAGCCCCACTCACACCACCTGCTGGCACCGGCCCCAATCGCTCCACTCTGTCAAGGGGAGCAACCGGGATGGCACCGTCAGCGCGTGGGAGTGGCGGCGGAGGGAGTGGGGCTGCTGGCACACAGGGGACCAGGGACCCCAGTGGGAGGGCCTGGGCAGGGGTGCGGAGGATGGGCCGAGACCCGCCCCTGTGCCCACTGCAGCCTCGTGGCCCACAGTTTCTTTCAAGGTGCACAAATTCATGCACTGGGCCCCAGTACATATACATATATAACAACATAGATACCCTTTTGCCCATCAAGTCACGGTTCCAAGTGATAAGTTCACCCTAAAGATATATCCACACATGTACACAGACATGCTGTATAAGGACATTTATTGTGGTACTGTCTGCAGTAGCAAAAAAAATGGCAACAACCTCAAAGCCCTTCGTCAGGGAACTAGTTACATCAATGACGTTATGAGGCACTTACTATGTGGCCACTGAAAGGAGCCAGGGGGACTTACGATGTCTAAGGTGAACCGTGAGGTGAGAGGAGGCGAGTACAGCATCTCACGGCTGTGGAAGCGTGGGAAGTACGCACACACGTGCCCGCACTAGCGCAGCCGGCAGCTGGACGGATACAGGGGGCTGGCACCGAGGCTGTCTTTGTGAGAGGGAACCCGGGACCTCAAGTTGGGGAGACACGCACCCTCTTGCAGTGTTTGAATTTTAAATTATATGTTCGCACTTTTAGATTTACCAGATATTAACATTTTCAAAACGAGAACTTGGAACGCTCTAATAGTGCAGACTTTCTACGTGAAGGGTCACCGCTGTGGTCCCCACACACCAGGGCGCCAGCAGTCCAAACGGGACCAGCAGGGTGGGTGAATGCGCATGTGCAGGCCAGGCGGGAAGGCTGCGAAGGGGTGCATTTTGAGCCAGAAGGTGGCGCTACGAGCGCGGCCAGGACCCTGTCTGTGAGACGCGGTGTACCAGGTGCGCAAAATGACGCTGATATTCCATATACACACGAGAGCTTTCACACCTGATCATTCCTTCACAGCAGCCTCCCAGGAGGTTCACGGGCAGGAATCTCTGGGCTTAAAACCGTGCCCGGGACTCCTGCCGGTTGGAGCTGCAGGGTAGCGGCATGTAACTCACTGGTGGCAAATATTTGTCTCCAACGGAGGCATCTAAATCTTAGAAACAGTCTTATGTCCTTTGGCTGCAAATTGGCGTAAAGAGTGAGACATCAAGTGAGGCAATTCATCTTTAAGTAAAAAAACAAGACAGGCCCTGGCCGGTGTGGCTCAGTGGATAGAGCGCCGGCCTGCGGACCAAAGGGTCCCAGGTTCGATTCCAGTCAAGGGCACGCTTTGGTTGCAGGCTCCTCCCTGGCCCCCGCCCTCATCAGGGCGTGTGCAAGAGGCAACCAACCCATGTGTTTCTCTCACACAGATGTTTCTGTCTTTCCCTCTCTCTTCTACTCTCCCTAAAAATCAATGAAAAAATATCCTCAGGTGAGGAATAACAAAATAAACAAAAGAGAATCAAAGCAGGTTGCTGCTCTGATTTTTCTTAAAAATTGGCTGCAGACTAAGCCCCAAAAGGATGCTCAAAAGATGGGGTGCGGGGCTCCGGTGCCAGGGGCTGCTTTGAAGAAGTCCACGCTCTCTCGGGCGCGGAGGTTCTTACTCGCTGGCGACGCGGGCTCCCGGTGCGG